GTGGTGCAGCAGTGTGGCAACACCGAAGCAGCAACAATATATATCCCTTAAACACAAAGGTTGCATCATTCGTGACAAATTGACAATTTGGAAGAAATCATGAATCTACCATGGTTATATGTAAAGAAGTGGACTGTAGACTCTTCAGCCCCTATTTGTTTATAGATTTGGTGGTATTATGGTAATGGAGAAAAATACAATTCTTACAAGGAAAAATACAATTCTTACAAGGACTGAACATAAACATTTTCACTACCTTATAAAAGATTTGTCCTGATATAGTCTATTCTATTTTTTTTCAAGAATGTGATCAGACCTCCATAAACCCAAATGAGTACCAGCTGAGGTAAATAGAAAAACAATATAGAAAATAACAACCCTGCTACTATCTAATGATCATTTGGAATTTTGCAGTCAAAATCATGTAAATCTAGTGATGGCCTAATCTATTTAAATAATGTGATTCAGTGTAACCTACTAAAGCAGACATGTATTTATGTTTGACATAATGCAGTTTTTTACTATTAGAGCTTAATGCTTCAAAATTAGTAATGACTAGAAACTGTATAGATGATTTGGTCTATGTTATTTTATATGTTATTGAAGCTGATTATTAATTCTCTATTTCTTATTTACCTCAAAATTCCAAACTGTTCAATAAGAAATGTAATGAACTACTGGTAGAAAGTTTATTACAGTCAAGAGACCCAACATGAAATAGATCAGAATATAACAAACCACAAATATTTACCAATATGCATATTTAATAATGTAATAGAATTCCCAGCTGCTTCACTACCTGTGCCCAATAACATTACTGTTTTGTACCTCAGAATAAACTTTATTAGTTTTTTTAATGTTATAGTTTCTGTAGCCTCAGTTTATATGTGTTTTATCCACTGTGTTTAATTTAATGGAATTTACTATAAATGTATGTGTAGAGTTTACATCACAGCTTAATCACATTTATTTGGAAATAAATTATTTTAGTGGCATGTGCTTGTACTAAGGTAAGTATGGAGAGTTAAATTTCGGCAGAATAGTCCTAAGCAAGTTTAGTCTATACAGAAATTGTTTATTATTTATTTCAAAAATATACCAGCTGCCTTTCAGGCTTCCAGTATTTTATAAGATGTTAATAATACAAAATTAAAAATAAATAATAGATAAGAATGAACTAAAACATGAAGACTGACATCTGACATGCAGCAATTGAGATTAAAATTGTTTCCAATTAGCAGCCTATACAATTTAGCAGAAAATAAATGTGATTTCAAATTTCCATCAAATTAGGGGACTGTGTTATCCTACATAGCAACGTAGCAGATGTGAGGCCACAAGGGGAGAAAGATAGTGGAGAAAGAGCTATTTAGTTCCACAGCAGCATAGATCATAGATCAGGCCTGTGAAGCTGGTAGCCCACGAGCCAGATGTGTCACTCATAGGCCATGCCCACCCCGGCTCCGCAAAGGCAAAAAACGTGATAGGTCACATGATGTGATCGAGTTTGACATACATGGTTTAGATTCTTCAATGCAAAAATGATCACGTACATATTTTGTCTCAGACTGTTGCTTTAACAACAAAATCCTTTTTCAGTTTATGCTTTCATTAGACAACTCATCTGAAGAAGCTGACATAATCCATAGAGTTTATTTGATAATAAAATTGATTAATCATTAAAGTGCCATAAAACTATTTTTCCTGAGAAATAGAATTGTTTCCATGTTTTTAACCCCCTATTAAGACATTTCCTCTAACTATCCAAGATAAAAGTTTTTGACTGGCAATTTTTAGGATTTTCTTTTTTTTTTCTTTTTTCTTTGGTTTAGGGTTGGTGCAGACCAATTGGAGCCATCTCTAAGTGGACTAATTATAACAACATCTAAGTATATTTAATGCCTCTGCAAATTTATCAGAGGAGCAATGATTTGAATGAATGCAATAATAGTTGGACCAGGTGCTTTTTTCCCCAACACTTGAGAGGGAATAAATCTACATCCCATCTGTGTCAATCTAAAAATAACATCCGGACAAAACTCTTGGGAAATCTTCAGCTTTGCTGTATATCTGAATCTAACATTTTGCAGAAAATAAATGAATCTGATAAATTTATCTAGATGAGATGGGCAGCATACAAATCTAATTAATAAAAATTAAACAAATAATTAAAAATTAGCTAGAGAATAGTTCCTCTGGAGACCTAAATTACAAATAATAAATAAATAAATAAATAAATAAATAAATAAATAAATAAATAATAATAATCATAATCATAATCATAATCATAATAATTCTATACCGCCCTTCTCCTGGAGGACTCAGGGCGGTGTACAGCCTATTAAAAGCACAAAGACAAACATCAATTAAAAATAATTAAAATTATTAAATAGTTTTGGCTCAAATTTAAAACCCCCAATTTAAAACACCTAATTTAAAATCATTACATTGATAGCCCGGCCTGGTGGAACAGCAGGGTCTTGAGGGCACAGCGAAATACAGCGAAATACACGGTGAATACACAGCGAAATGTATATGATGTAGTGGAAATGATCAGAAAGTGATATAAAACTTGACATTTCAGAATACAATTTGGAAAAGAAAAACAATTGTGGTAATACTTGAAAATTGTGGATGCTGATGGCTTCTTTCTTGCTGTGTCATATATGCTGAATAAAAACAAGAACTTTACAATCCAATTTGTATCTTATCAGAAAGAAGCCCTACTATGTTTAATGGGAATTACTCTCAACAGTGTCTGTATAGGATTATAATCCAACATGGTTTTGCAGAATATTTACTATCTGCACAACTGATTGCCAAGAGAAATCTGGCATCAGTCTTGCATAATAAGCTGGACTTTGAGCTGGACTTTTAAAATGAGTAGAGTATTGTTTATATATACCTCATTTATATATACACCTCATAAGGTATTTTTAGTCTCTATTGTTATTTTAAAGAAAAATGTAAAGTGCTTGGGCCAAATTTTGGTGGTGTAAAATTTTAAGAATTTTCAGTATAAGAATTTTGAAAAGGTGTATATACTTTTGCATTTCAATCTCCTTGCATTATTTATTTCACCTAAAAATCTACTTAATTCTCTCTAAAAAAAATTCTACACAATTGTTCTCTTACCAGTTCTACACAGTTAGAAATATGTAGCTATTAAAAATATCTGTGCATTGAAGTGACTCTGGTCATAATTAGACAGAGCACTGAAAAATAAAAAAGGCTTCAGATAGTCAATATTCTGTTCTATAATGATGAGAAAAATACATATGGGTAGTTCACCAATATACCATAAAAGTAAAAGGTCTCCTCCCTTCCCAGGATCTTTTTCCAAACAAGTCGTGTTCAGTGGCAATTTACATTATAAATCTGTAGAGGCTAGTATCATCTGTGATAGTCAAATTGTCTCTATTGCCTTGTAAATCAATGGCCACCGTTGTATTTTGTAGTAACAGAGCCCATTGATTAATGCATTATATAAATACACATTTTAAATCCACTGCCAATCTAGTATTATGGGACGGAGGAAAAGTCTCCTTTTAGTTTCATCTCTTATCATTGTAAGTGTTGAAATCTTTTCTAATTCTTATGCCACTGAAAATCATTTTGTAAGGAAGAGATACGATAGAAACATTCAAACCTGGTAAATTAGCAAGTGTGTGTGAGACTTGACTCAAAAAGGCTGAAGAGGCGGCCCAGGATTTAAACCTGGGAACTAACATATACAGAAGGCAGGATTCTGAGTTGGTGTTAGTTGCATTTATTCATAGATATAGCTTCTTTCTCAGCGGCAATAAATATTCACAGTTCACTGTAGAATAGGAGCTTCAAGTTATTTATCAGAATTCTCTTTCTTGCTCCTAACCGGTATATTGTAACATTTATAAATGTAACACAGGATAAGATTTTATGGACAAGAATCCACTTTATAAGCGTCACAAAATGTTGTTTTATCTGCTCCCTAGAATTCCCATTTTTTTTGTTATTTCTACCCTTATAGAAAGAAAACAGAAACTATGTCAATTTTATGTGGGCTTTTTTGCTCTTTCTCCCTCTTCAGGAAGCTTTTATGCATATTAGCAATGCTGCACATAATAATAGGTGAATTAAAAACAACATGCTGAAGAAACAGACAACTTGACAGGGTTGAATTAAAGAAGTGGCAGTAAAACGTGTGGGCAGGTAAATAACAAGTGAACTACAGAAAGTCACATGTTGATAATGTTGCTCCTGTGTCCCCAGCTGCTTCCTGTTTTCTTTCTGTAGGAAAGGATGCTGGGAGAGTAGCTCCGCAGATACTGAATGAGACCATTGGCTGTAGAGCTCTCCTGACTTCCCTTTCAAAAGGAAGGTGATTTTGCAGCTGACATCCCTTACAGGGATACTGGCAGCAGAGATGTTTCAAACTGGGTTCTTCTATGGTACAGCTGCCCATTTCACTTCCATGGCGTAGGTGCTGCAATACTGAAAGTGTGTGCATGAGATTTTCATGGGTATTCAGTGGAAAATCCAGAACAGCTGTCTAGAATATCTCCTGTGGTTTTGGTGTTGTGGCAGCAAAGCCATGGGTTGGAGAAGATGGGGAGTGTTGTTCTCTCCTGTGATATCAATACCCTTTCAATCTGGACATGCCAAAAGGTGACATGTATCCAGTAGCTGACTCAGAGGTGAGTTGGCAACGCGGTGAAGGCTCTGTCATAAGGAAATGACCTTTACAGTTAGTGGGGGAAATTATGCCACAGCATGCAGAACATGTGGATTTACCCTTTTTTTTGTTGTTGCTCTTCCCCTTTCAGTGGAGTTTTCTGTATTCCTGAAAATCTGTTCTAGGAGTTGGGAAACAGTAAGTCTGGAACTGTAAAGGAGGGGGAAATTCAGAATAAATTATATTTTGCCAGGAGGATTTTGAGCAAAACTCTGTTTTGACATGTTCCAACGAGTGGAAACACATAGGATAATATGGAAACAGAAACAGAAACAGTGCAAAAGCAGAAGTTCTCTCAAGTTTATTGTTTTTAGGGACTTTATTTTTTCAGTGGTACAGTGCAGCAATTACACAGGAATTTCTGGGTGGCTGTAGTTGAAATAAAACGGTTTCATAGACTGAACTCAAACATACAAACATGCAGCTACTTGTGAAAGGAGGAAAAAGGAAAAATACTGAAGCAGGAACCGAGGCTGGCAGGTGGTGGAGAAGGCCTTAACTTGGGGAGATCAACTCCATAGACTGTTCAATAAAACCAAACTCCCTTTTGTGTGCCTTATGTGGAACGGGGGTGTATCTATGTCATATATAGGATGTCACTTGTTCTCCTGAGATAGGAAAACTTTTAATAGATCTGCAATAAGCAAACTTTATAGAAACAGCTTCCATTACCTTTCAAATGAAAGGTAAGCATACAACTTCATGTTATTCTTAAACATATATTTATATTAAGAAATGACAGCTGGACTCATACTTATCTTTGCATATAATTAGTGAGCCTCCCAGCAATTGACTAATGCTAAGCAGGGATTGTGTAACTAGCAAGTTCTAGTCCCATCTTGAGCACAAAGCCAGCTGGATGATCTTGGGCCAGTCCTTCTCTCTCAGAAGAATGCAAGGGGCAAACTCCTTCCCAAAAAAGGCTGCCAAGAAAACACTAGAGGGCAGTCATCAGAAATCAAAGTTGACTTGAATAAATATTTTTTCCTCCATTGTTTCTATGCCACCACTGATCACAAAGAGCTGATCATGTGTGGGCAGCAGTGGGCCAACCCCACACCCACTGCTAACCTGGTGTCTTCAAAAGCACTCCCTTATTATCTGTAATCAGCCTTGATATAGCACTGCTAAGCAATATATAAGGGATGTACAACTTAGAGAATTGGTACTGTAGTTACCCATACTTCTGAAAGTATTATGCCACAAGTCTTATATTTCTTGTTTTGAAATGATCCCACAGTATTTATACATATATTCCTATCTGACTTGCCCAGGCCCTAATCTAAACTACAAAACAGCCTAATGCTAAAATCAGCCAAGTGTAAGATAATAATTCCCATTTAAAATGAAATTTAATCCAATCTAATATCTCATGAATTGACAGAGTAGTCCACCAGCTATTATTCAAAAGAAAGCTCAATTAAATAATACTAAGTGGAGATGATAGAACTAAAAATCCTTTACAGTCTTCCCTGAAATTAATGAGAATTATTGATCAATCAGTTTGAAATATCTAAATGAGGATTGGGTTTATATGAATTTCTGTATGTACAGCAAACTAGATATTGCTCAATCTATACTCTAATTTACAGCAATCTTGTTTATACTATAATGCATTTTTAAAATAATGAATAGAAAGCATACTTTTCTAAATAAAGATAAATATTTACTCAATACAAAATTATATATATAAAAAACCACTCAAGATATGGGAAACAAGCTGTGTGAAAAAATAGTGAAACTGCTTTAGCCTTGAATAAGAATTTTATAGTTCAGTAGCTGAAGTACATTTCTGAGTACTCTATACCATTTCCATTTTCAAAATGGTCACACACTGGACAAATTATGACCATGTCTACCGTAGGTTCCATTGTCAATATTGGCAGTAGTTTTTACAAGAGAGCCAATGTTGAGACTCATCATAAGTTAAACACCTCTGTTTCACATTCAAAGGTAGAACTAGGTACAATAGAACACCACAGCAGATCTAAGAATCTGTCTTACATCTAACAAGTCTTACAACAAACAATGAAGACCATAACCTGTTTTTTCCTTAGATATTTTTCTAAAAGGTGATAACAACATAGATGTAAGGCTGTCTTTTAATGTTGCATCTGTAATACAGAGAAAGAGAGAGAGAGAGGGAGAGAGAGAGAATGGGAGACATGGATATGTATACCAAAAAATGAAGATATATATACCTATGACAAATCATAAGACTCTATTTCTCAAGTGCATGTAATGTGAAGCCATACTAGATGTGTCCATACACAAATCATACATAAATGAAATGATCAATTTCTAGGCATTTCTTTTTCCAAAGCTATTATTTTAGTCAGAAAAACCATTTTGGCTGCTCACTTCAGCAGTCATATGGCACTCACAGTTTCTTTCGGAGAAAAGAAATACCTATGGGGGCTCAGGAACTAACTTGAAGCAGGAACGAATGTTTATAGTGCTTGACTATTGGTGGGTTATGCCATTATGAAAGCCTAGAAGACAAACTGGTGAGACTTCTTTGGACTGTTCCTTCCACTGTATATCAGCCCATGTAGCTTCCAGCAGATTTTTGGTTGTTACATAACATTGTCAGCCATTGGCTGCAGCATTACAAAAATATTATTCTGGAGTTAAGCTTTTCATATATAATAGGTGCTTAAATTTCTGGGAAACGTAATTTCTGGCATTACAAGCTCCCCAAAGCTTGTATCTCTATACCCCAAATAATTATCAGAGGTACTGTCTCAGTTGGAAATCAAGATAGTTCTAAATTGAGATATGGTGTTAGAAACCTATTTTTGTTCACAAATGAAATATCAAATTCCAAATAGTCACTGCTAATGCTTTAATATGGTTTCAGGAATTGTGTGTTATGAAAACCTAACAACTTTGAGATGGTTGATGTTATAGAATTGTATTTTTTTAACATAAGGATTGGGTTTGCACTGGCACTAAGCTGTGTTTTTGTGAATAAATCCCAGTTGGCTAACTTTGATATGGTAAGCCATGAATCATATTTTACAAAGCACAGTAACGGGTTCCACACAACATGCTAACCTAAAAAACTCTATGTTGGTATAACTTGATGCTTAAACTCAGTAATTAATTACTATGTAAGTGAATCAGATTTTGTCTAAATTTTACAGTAGGAGAAACTTTGAGACTTCATTGAATTCTACAACAGGAACTATAGCCTACTCCACTCCACATAGGGTCTATGACAACTCGCCACAGCCAACTCATCATGGCCAACTCGCCACAGCCAACTCGCTGTGGGACAATTTGGCATGGCCAATTCACTATGGAACAACACACCACGGGACAAGAGTTACACTAATATTGAAGAAACAGTAGACTAGAATCATTTAAAAAAGGATGCCAAAGGAGAGACAGAATGAAATGTGAATGACAAAAATTAAAATATTTTAAAAACTATTTTAAATATTATATTGAATTGTTGAATTGTGCCATAGTGAATTGTCCTGTGGCGAGTTGGACATGGCAAATTGTCCTATGGTGAATTGGCCGTGGCGAATAGGCTGCAGCAAGTTGACCATGGCAAGTTGGGTGTGGTGAGTTGTCCCATTCTGCCTGTAGATGGAGAACACTGGCCTTCCTCAAAAGGGTCAAAACTTGGCTGTGTAGCCTTATGAGGGGATATAGAGGCCCAAACAACCATGGGGCTGGCTGGTCCCATGAGAACTCCCCCCCCCCACTGCTGTATGAACAGCTGTTAATCACTATTTTGGAATTCTTCACCTTCTGAAAATTTTCTGTTTTATAATTTTAAAACTTTTAATCCTAACTTATTATGATTTTAATGTTTAATTTTATTGATTATATTGTACATCACCTAGAACCCCTCTCCAAGAGAGATGGGCAGTTAAAAATATGAAAAATAACCAAACAAATAAATATGATATCAAAAAAAATTCATGTGGGGTCCATTTCCAGAGGTAAATATGCATAAAAGCCTTAAGCCAGTTTTCTGGGACTGACCTCAACAAACGTCTGGAATTAGCAGAAGCAATGACGGTGCAGGATGCTGGTTCCATGCTCAGGGCTGAATCAGGTGTTCCATGTATTGCCAAACAGGCCCACAAGCTACCCATGTATCAAAAATTAGGAGAAGACTTTTAAGGGGGAAATCATATCATACACTTGCAATTTCTTATAATGTTAAAAGTCACCTTACAAATGTTAGATTCCTCCTTCCAGGAAGGAACAAATCCATGACATGGGATTCGGTGATATAGAGATGCCAAATGTGTGACATGCTAAATATCACAAAACTCTAGTTTCTTCTTTGCCTATGAATAGGTTTAGGATAAACTGAAAAATGACATGTTTTGAAGAGGGCAGTTTTGCTTGCAAGAATATCAGAGTATCCCTGTTGAGAAAAACGGCATGCTTTTCCCATTAAAATCACAAAATTTATTAGACTTTTCAAAGGGTTTACATTTTGTACACTTGTTGTTGTGTTTCTCAATATGACTTAATGATACACATAGGGCAAAGCCGTTAGACTCTTGGACAGATGCTATGTCCATGCCATACTCATTTGTTTACAGCTGAAAAAATATTAGTTTATGGACAGGAATTCTGTATAAAATTAGTAATATTTTATATAAATTCACAATATGTTTGAATATTGTGTTAAATGAGAAATAATAGAAATTACAAAAAATGCAGTTGCAATATTTATTCTGTTTTGGGAATATTAGTTTTTGGAATACGTTGTTTCTGTTTCAGGATGAAGAAAAAAAGGAAAAGGAGCATATTCATTTGCTATTACCTATTGGCAAATTAGTTCTTTGTCTGTTGCAGTTTAGGAGTTTTTCTCTGTGATTAGCATGTATGAGTGTAACCTTTTGTACTAACACTGCATGTATCTCCTGATCCCTTTTTTCCCCTTTTATATATTCTGCCCTACAAAGTTGTCTGCTCCTGTAAACTATCATCAATTTGGTTTTTGAAACTCAGTTCCATAGAAAGCTGTATTTCCACCAAATGAAATATTTAAGTTGTGTCACTGAAGGTATTCAGGTCCATCTGGTCGCCCCTACTCTACCCTGAATTAAGGAATTACAATGTCGTAAAAAGGTAGTTTACTGAAGGAATTTAGGTAGGTGCAAAAAAAAATTGTGATTACAGAAATTATTCATTCATACAATAAATGTAGAGAGCAATATTAGCAATGCATTCTCACTTGCATTTGGTCTCTCTACCTAACACTGACCAGCCTATTTGCAAGTGATTATGATTCTTTCATAGTATAAAAAAGGCTTACATAAATGTTCATTCAGATGGAACCCCTATGAAAATTATTACTAAAATTTGGTCGAATTGTGACCCATCTGTCTTTGCTGCGATGCTAATTGGTGTCAATTCATGTTACATGTATCCTAAAGTTGCTCTTAGTCCAACAACTATTGTTAATAATCTGGACTTCTGTATTCCAGATTTACATAATCTATAATCATGCAACATAATTGCTTATCCTTACTCCGTAGGTAGTAAATCTAAAGTCATATCATAACTGCCTTTCATCTTCATTACCTCAGCCTACTCATAAGTGATATTTAAAAATTTCATCTGTCCAAAGGAAAGACTCAAATAATCAATCTATGAAATCTCTCTCTCTCTTTCTCTCTCTCTCTCACACACACAGAGCGAGAGAGTGAGAGTGCAAAAATACAGTAGAAGTTCTAAATAGCAGCTGAACATACAAGTTCTACATACGTTTTCTACTGAGTAACGATGGTATTGTATGGACTTATGTAATACCCAATTAAAGTTAGCAGTTTTGCAAGGACTTTTGATTTACTATGTCCCTATGGTACAACAGATGGGTCAGCTGAAAAATGTGATTTCTATGTTTCATCTGCTTGCCTCAGCTTCTTCTAGTGATGCTCAAAGAGCCGAGAAATTGGATAGTGAGTGAGTGACTGAATGTCTGGGAAGATGGCAGTCTTGAAAGTGGTCTCAGGAATGCATAAAATAAATAAAAGTACCTTTAGGACAGTTGTACTTACAAAACAAATAAAATCCACAAAGAAAAAGAAAGCAAGAGAAGAAAAGGACAAAGGGTGGGGGGAGAGAAACGAGAGAATTTCATGCAGTGGTTTGGGCCTCCACAGCATCTGTTTATTGGAGCCCATCAGGGTCACTCTGGATCGTATCACATAAAAAATAGAAAATCTGCTGGAGAAACACAGAGTGAGACAAACTGACAGCCACACACAGAGGGAATGATTGGGAAGCCAGGACATTGGAGGGACCATGCCGGTGATTATTTACAAGAGAGATACAACACAGAGAGGTACAATCCTGCCCCTGCTTGGCTCCTCTCTGACTCAGCCAGTCTCCTCATTCCAGGACTCGGGGGTGGCACTGGGGGCAGTGGTTCCTTCCCCGTTGCATGTCGCTGGACCTGGTGATGTCATTGTTGATGTTTCTGCTTTAGTTGCTGGAGCTGTGGATGTTTTTCCCTCTGGGTTTTCTTCTGCAGGGGCTGATACCATTGTGGCCACCCGGGCAGCTTCAGTTGTTGGAGCTGTGTTATCTGCTTCAGGTTTAGCCTGTGGGGTGTTGTTGGGCTGTGTTGTAGCAGCACCATCTGTTGTGGCAGCAGTGGGAAGGGTTGGCTTGGCTGCATCTGTGTGTTCTGGCGCTCGGAGTCTCTTCATCATTGTGGTCACTCGGACAGCTTTCTGTGGGTTGCCAGGAGAAACATGGTTTTGAGATCTAATGTCTCCTTAATGTTTCATAAACCCAGTTCAGAATACACAATCCCACAGACCTCTTGGCTTTTTAAAAAAAGTAACCTTGATGTATTCACATTGGAAGTTCCACATTTTATTTTTAAATGTGCTGTCAGAGTCCGTGACTGCAGATAAACACTTGAGAAAAGAATGGGTTTATAATAGATCCTCAAGGATAAAAGCATCAGAAAGCAAATAACAAGGTACGACTAATGTATTGTGATTTGTACTTTATCTGATGATGATTAATCCAAGTAGCAGTCTTTAGAAATGGCAATTTATGGCTGTCATTCAATTTAAGTTTGTTAGATACTGTTTTTTAATCATGCCATTTTTAAACCCATAAAGGAAAGAGACAGGAAAATTAATATTAATAGAGGGATTAAATATTGATTTATTGAGGTTAATAAAAATCAGACAAGGCATAGTGAGAAATAAATGTATATAGAACATGCAATTACTATAAAATATTTAAATGCATATTTGTAATATAAAAAGTATTAGTATTTTATCAATACTAGGTTAATAGAAATGCTTGATCTAACAATATATTCTTCATACCATTCAGATGCGAAACAATTTATTTTAGAAAGTTTTGTACAATGTCTATGACATCAGTGATTTCCAGGGAATATTCTCTTCAGAAATTATCCCAGTGGTTAATGAATTGATATAAAATATGAATGACTTGTTTAAAAAAGTAAAGGAGACTCCAGAATTACATATGATTCCTGAAAACCTTGGATGTATCCCCCAGCAGGTTGTAATTTTCATTTTTAATGTGATAACAGAGAAAAACAATTAAAATATGGATAATAATCATGGGAGAAGGCAAAACTAAATGATTCCTGTATTTTGCCAAGGAAACCACATGGGTAGACATGATAAAGGGAGTGTTAATGTAATGCAGATTGATGGGCCCTTCAATCTACTATTGAGGAAGAGCTGAGGATCTTCCAGAATACAACTGTTATTTTATGACTCTTTTAGATCAAAGTCTTCAGATTGTATAAATGGCTGAGGCTGCCATTCAAAAAAAGGAAAAGAAGAAGAAGAAGAAGAAGAAGAAGAAGAAGAAGAAAAAAGAAAATCAAAAGCTGGAAAGAATTATATGTGAAAACATGAAACATAAGCATAAACATGGAAAAGCTCAATACAATGAAAGATGAAATGAATCAGCTACAATTGACATCTTTGGCACCAGCAAACTGAATGAAGCAAGATTTACACTTTTACTCAGAAAATCATACTGTTTGCTACTCAGAACATAAAAACAAAGACAGAGCAACGTTGCTTTCATGATCAGGGAAAAAAAGTCAGTCTACAAACCAATTGTAAAGAAAGAAGATTTAACTGTGTGTGGAAACTATCATACATTTTCCTTATTTTCACTTGCTAGTAAAAGAAATTTTAGGATTATCTAACACCAATTACATGGAAAGAGAGATGCCAGGTATTTGAGATAGTTTTAGAAAAAAATAAAGATCAAATATTATTGCTGATGCCCACTCAATAATTGAAAAATTAAAAGCATATTTCTCAAAAGTGAGTATGAGCCTCATTGTTTATAAAAGCCATTGATGATGTAAAGCTAGAGCATCCATTATCACAATAGCACAGGAAGTCATAGTCCTGATAAAACATAGCAAACTAGATGGCTCTGGATTGGTAAAGAAAAAGTTAAGAATGGTTTTTAAAATTGGAGGAAGAAACATTAATTTCTTGTGTTATATATAGTGAAGACACTATGCTAATAGCCTGACATCCAAATGATTGCAAGCTCGAATAATGAAAGTCAAAGAGCACAGTGGAAAAAAAATGAGACTAAGAATAAACATAAAAAAGACTAGATTAATGACTGCAGAATGACAATGAAGAAACTGAAATAGTGGATAGCTTCTGCCTTTTAGGATAAAATAAAGAAACCAGCAGTCAAGAAATACATCACAGATTAGCATGTGGTGGGGTAACAATGAAGAAATATTCAGATGCCATGGCATGCCTATATGGAACAATGCAGGCAATGTTTTTTCCTGTAATATTCTAATAGTGTGAAAGTTGTACTTTAAAGAACTTTGAGAGTTAGAAAGAGTATTGATGCTTTTGAACTGTGATGTTGGACAAGACTCCTAAGAATACCATAGGTGGCCAAGAAAACAAGCAAATGAAACATGGGGAAAAAATCAATTTCTTATTTGAGGCACAAATGATCTGGCTCAAATAATAATATTTTGGGTATATTATGAAAAATATAGCTATAATGACTATAGGAGCTGCGGTGATACAGTGGTTAGAATGCAGTACTGCAGGCTACTTCTGCTGACTGCTGGCTGCCTGCAATTTGGCAGATCAAATCTCATCAGGCTCAAGGTTGTCTCAGCCTTCCATCCTTCTGAGGTCAGTAAAATGAGGACCCAGATTGTTGGGGGTAATATGCTGACTCTTTAAACCACTTAGAGAGGGCAGTAAAGCACTGTGAAGCAGTATATAAATCTAAGTGCTATTGCTATAATGGCTATATCTATAGTTGCTAAGAATTGACATTAACTTGATAATCTAAACATCAAAGATATTTAGCATTTCCTGTTATAACTTCAAGGCAGCGTATTTGTACTGCACTTTGTGATATAGAAGTTAAGCTGTGAAATGCAGTATATTTTGTTTTATTTATCTAATTTATTTAGCTGTCCCTCTCACAAGTAAGTGATTCTGGGTACAACTGCAACTAAAACAATAAATATTATTATTGAAAATGTTACAAACATTAAAAAGCTATAAAAACAGGTAAACAAGATATAATATTTAATTGATTAGACTATCAATTAGACTATCAATTAGTCTAATGATTGATTAGACTATCAACTATCAATATCTAGTTGATTAGACAATTAATTAATAAATAATTAACTGATAATTATTGGGCAGAGTTTGCAAAATTCCAGCATTCTTGAACCTAGTAGTCTTTAGAACATTGATACCATAACACAAGGATTTTCTAGACACTATTCTCTAACCTCTTTTTGCAGAAGGTTGTGGAAAATGTTGTAGAGCTGCACTTGCAGACTATCCTAGATGGAGCAGAATATATAGATCTTTTTCAGCAGGGTTCATACCTGGTATTTCTTAATAATCTCCAATCAGATTGTAAGGAAGTTTGAGCCTGCTTAGCTTTTCCAGATCAGCCAAAGTCAACTAGGCGTTTCCAGCTAATCAAACTATAGCTTTCCATTACATATTATCACACTACAGGTGGTCCTCAACTTACGATCACAATTGAGCCCAAAATTTATGTTGCTAAGTGAAACATTTGTTAAATGAGCTTTGCTTCATTTTACAACCTTTCTTGCCACAATTGTTAAGTGAACCAGTGCAGTTGTTAATTTAGTAACTTGGTTGTTAAGTGAATCTGGATTCCCTATTGACTTGTCAGAAAGTTGCAAAAGGATTGGGGTTAGGGTTGACAGCAGGACACTGTAGTGTCATAAATATGAACCAGTTGCCAAGTATCTGAATTTTGATTATGTGACTACAGGGATGCTGCAATGGTTGTAAGTGTGAAAAACAGTCATAAATCTCTTTTTTCAGCATCGCTGTAACTTTGAATGGTCACTAAATGTACTGTTATAGGTTGAGGATGACCTGTATTGTCCAGCTATTATAAGTATTGTGAGAAATGGACAAAATTATTTTGATTTCTTATTTATCTGTGGTGAAGGCTAATTCTTTCATCTAGATTTAGCCCTGTGAAAGAAAATCAACACATAGATTTTCATAGAGACTGAAAGAAAAGCTTCTGGATGCATTTCCTCACATTCATAGTGAATCCGTCTTAAGCTTTGCAATAGAGGGCCTTTGCTAGCAATACATTACCTTCCATTTTGCCCTGGCAAAGTTCTTTTCAATCTGAGCACATACTCCATCTTTTATATTCTTGTCTGAAGCTGCATTGCCAGAAATCCTAGGGACAAAAAACCCCCCAAAAAACTAGTCAGTTATATCACTTCATCATAGCCCCTCCTTAGTCTAAATCAGAAGTGGTATTCAGCAGGTTCTGACCAGTTCTGGAGAACCGGTAGCAGAAATTTTGAGTAGTCCAGCGAACCGGTAAATACTACCTCTGACTGGCCCCGCCCCCATCTATTCTCTGCCTCCCGAGTTCCAGCTGATCGGGAGGAAATGGGGATTTTGCAGTAACCTACCCCTGGAGTGGGGAGGAAATGGAGATTTTACAGTATCCTTCCCCTGCCATGCTCACCAAGCCATGGCACGCTCACCAAGCACGCCCACAGAACCGGTAGTAAAATTTTTTGAATCCCACCACTGGTCTAAATATCTTGCTTTGCTTTGTTTACTGGCCTAGATTGTAGGTCTTGAATAGGAAGGCTAGAGGCAGCGATTAGCTCTCAGTACAAAACAATTCAAATTGTAAATCTTATGAAATCTGAATATCTTGAGCTGTTCCTTTTGAACATGGAGAAGTGGACTTTATATTGTCCCTGTTCATGTTTCTTGGCATTGTGTACTTGTTTTTAGAACTCTTTTTTCCTTATGGAGCAACTATAGGGCTCTCACCATTCATGAGAGATAGCTTCTTCTGCTGTAATTCTCTGGTCTTGATCCACCTCCATCAGACGGGCTACTAAGTCCTTAGCTAAAGAAAAAAAAAAAGGAAGATTACTTTTAAATGCCATCTGTGGGAGTGAAGGTCACAGCAAATGCTGCAATGGCTTTGCAACACAGAAATTCTGAAAGGGCTACCAGTTCATAAAAAAATTACATGTGTCTTTCAGGCCAAAACAGATTCTACACAGAAGTAATTTAGTAGGACTGACTCCTTTTGTATATAAAAATCAGCCTTGGGAGGTCACAATCCTTCTGTTAAAAATTGCCAGAAAGGTAGTGACTTGGGAGTATTGGAAATTATATTCAAGAGGATGCAATGATTGGGAAGGCTGTGCTAAAAATCTCAGTGAACTTGTATTTGCCCTTAACATTTTGGGTTACAGTGTGCAACCTCTTTTTCTTGCTTCCCCCATTCTCACAACCTTACCTGCCTGTGAGATATCATCCCAATAAGGAGGATCAAACTCATAGTCTCCAGCCAAGATCTTGCGAAATAGGTTCTTGTCATGATTCTCATAATCATCCTCATCCATTTCCTCATAGAAGGGTGGGTTTCCCGACAAGCTACAGCGTAGAAATGGAAGTTTAAATTCTGAATATTCCTCTTCAAATTCCCAGCCAGCATGGTCAATGTAGCGTTGTAGCTACTCATTGGTAATTCTAAAAACTGCAATCCCAGCACATTTGAGAAAGGCTCAGCTGCTGTAGCATACACCTGCAGACTTATTTCATAAGAACTTCCTACTACTTTTTCTGCAGCCATATTTCTCTCCTGATGTCCGTTCTATGTTTGGACCTTCCTCCTTTCCCTCCCCATCATCAGTATGATCCCTCTTTACTTACAGAATATACATGATCACACCAATAGCCCAACAGTCCACAGGCCGCCCATATCGTTGGCGCCCCACCACTTCAGGTGCTGAAAGGACAATTGTAGAAGATGAGGACTATCCAGAGGACAGGCACATGTTTCTCTGAACACATTACACATTACAATCACAATTTCAGTAGATAACATTCCAGGAAATGTATCTTGGCAGAGCTAAGTACAGAATGCTTTGGCGTTGTGCTCTTAATTCTATTTCAAAATGTTATTGTGAGAATTTATAGAATGAGCATAATGAACAAGGTGCATTAAAAGCTTCCTTTGTAGTATTTTAAGTTTCCATATATAAACATTTTGTGGGGCGGAGATGGAATTGTGATATAGAGGTAAAATCATGTCCTTAAGCAGTTAATTATTTTAGAAATATTTAAAATCCATGTTAGGAGTCATTTGCACTCAAATCTCTCCCTTTTTTATAGCTTACAAGTTGCCCGTTTAGAGTGTATATAATTGAACCATAGTATATGAGTAAATTTCTGTACATAATGGTTTGGAATATATGGAAGTTGCTCCCTATGTTGAAAAATGTCATTTGCGCTGAATCAACCATATTTAGAAAAATATTTTTGTGTCATAGGCTGCATTCCCACTGAAAGAATCTATAGGGACCACAGTGCTTGTCACTGGCATGCAACACTATCAAAGATTACAGTTTTTCCTTTCCGCACAAAATATCTATCGTAAAAATGGGGAACTCATGGTCAAACAGCAAGGCAGAAAGTAATACATATATGTAAATTGCTATAGACCAATAATAGGGAAGGAGTTTTATGCTTATGAGTTTTTTATAGGCATCTGTTTGGAAATAAGTCTATGCTAGATACAGGAAGGTTATTTTCTGTTCCTATAGTTTATTCATTGTAATGTTGCCCTGATTCCTATGCTGTTTCTTACCTAGATATTCAGGAGTTCCACAAGGTTCTTTGATGAGCCCATTCTCCAACTTGGCTAGGTGAAAGTCACTGATCACAATCTTAGAATTCTTCAGGCGGTTGTAATATACTAAATTTTCTAGCTGCAGAAACAGTTGAAAAGAGAATGAATATATGGATGACGGAATGAAGGCAAGAGGATAAAACTGCTGAATGGGAGCATTATTTCCTTCTAGATGTTTGTGTTAGTTTATATGCATGCTTATACATCCACGCAATCACTTCAAGCTTCTGGGAAAAGTAAAAGGCATGATATTTGAAATGGATGTTTCTATCCATTCCTTCAACTATCATATGTATATATAACACCATACATAGGGCGTCCTTCTAAAATCTGGGGTGGGGGGGGTGGGGAGGAGAAAAAGAAGGCATTGCAATTGCTTAAATCAATTTATAAATAGAAGGAAGAGGACATGGGCCAAGAATGTAGCACCAATGAGAGATACAGGCTAGAGCAGGGGTCAACAACCTTTTGGACCTCAGGGACCACTAAATTCATAATTTTAAATCCCGCGGACCACTAATATGATCTGTGACTGGGTGGGTGTGGCCAACTCAAATGCCACTCACATCGAGGGGCACCTTGCCAACCTCTACTCACTACACCTCGCCTGCCCACCTGGGCTCTTTAAAGCCCGCAACAGGAAGCAGTTGCTGGAGCTAAGCAGCCACCATGAGAAAGAGTTGGCAAAACAGCTGGCTCAGTTCAAATTGGATCTGACCGAGAAGGAGGCTTAGTCCTCACTGAGGACTACGAGCATAGGTTTTCCAAACAGAGGGAAGACCTGCAGGAGTGCAAGGCCAGGTACTGGTGCCTGGAGACTCAGCGGGCTGAGATGGTCAGCCAGTTCCAGGCCATGATGCAATCCCACCGGCACAAGGTCCTCTGGCAGTAGCAGCAATTCCCTCCAGCCTTCATCCAAAGCCCTGCACCAGGAGGCTGAAGCAGACCCCAAATTGGAATTTCTGCCCCCCTCCGACCCACACAAAAAGATCCCAAAGGGGGAGACTCTCTGCAGCAACACAAATGTTCATTGCATGTATTTGGCCCAGGGGCCATAGTTTGAGGACCCCTGATTTAGTGCAATATAAAAAATGCAAATAATTTTTCAGGAGACCACCAAAATTTTCTCACGGACCACCAGTGGTCCACGGACCACTAGTTGATGACCACTGGGCTAGAGGGAAATGATCCTACTTGCCTTGAGATTCCTGTGTACAATCTTCAGTGAATGCAGGTATGCCACAGCCTCCAAGACCTGCCTGATGACATTACTAGTGTCACGCTCAGAGTAGTACCCTTGGTCCAAGATCCAATCAAATACCTCTCGACCAGTGGCCCTATAAATAAGGAAACAGACAAAAGCAACAGGGAAATTGGATAACCAAAATACTAGTTAATGCCAACTAGTATTACAAGCTACAATGGATGTAACCTAAAAAACGGCTTTCTCATTTCACATCACTACAAATTAGCTTTACAATAGAGAATGGAACAAAATAGCCTCCTTTGTCTGAATCCATCTGATTTGGTACATGTTAATTGTCATCACAATAGAATCTTTCCCAGCATTATTTAAATATGCCAGGGATTGAATCAGAAAGGGTTTTTTTCCCCCCCCCAGAAAAAAAAAACAAAAAACAGTACAACTAGCGATAGCCTTTTCCTGCAGAAAAAAGAAATTATAGTATAATGAGAAGGAAGCTTCCCTCTCCCCTTCTAGATGGTGTCATGAACATTTAAGGAATTTCTGATAAGTGCCTGAGAAACCATGCTGTATTTTGGGATGGGGGGAGGGAAGGGCAAGGCTTAGCATCATAATGCTATGGCCCTGGCAGCATGAGAAGAGAACCCAATGGGTCATTTTAGTTGTGTAGATTCACGCAACACCTACTTACAGCTCCAAGAAGAGGAAATACTCTTTCCGGGTAACATACACATCCACCAGTTGTAGAATGTTGGGGTGCTTTACCCTGTAGGAAAAGAGAAAAGCTAGTTTGAGGGTCTGCTATCAGGCAGAAACATACAGCCAAAGCCAGATATCTGCTCAGTCTTCTCAAGAAATTTGTCAAGTCACCTTGTATTCATTTACTGCATTTTAATTAGGATGTTATATCTCACCTAAATCTGTTTTGCCATAGCTGAAGCCATACTACTTGTTCCATTATTAATGGATACAATGAATACTGTAGAATTCTGTTGCTTTCATCATATGCAAAACGAAAGGGAATTGCATTGTGATATTGCAATGTTACTTTCATCAAGCTGACATTCCCTCCTCCCTCTCATCCTTGCAGAAACTGCTTCCCCTTCCTGAAAAGTATATTTTATATTTCTGGAGCATGTCGGTTCCTTTAATTCTGCTTTATAGTATTAGCTTTCAAGTATTTTTTCTTATCTTTGCGTTTGTTTTTGGAATCTTCAGTTCATCAACATCTATTCTGAAATATTACAGATTGTGAACTAGTATTTCTCTTATATTTCTAAGGTTAATGTGTTTCTTCGTGGTGATGTTTAGAATGGGGATGAATAGCAATGCCATAGGTCAGAATAGTTCTGACCAATGGTGAACATGCTTTATGCACCTAAAATCAGGATGCCACCATCTGTGGGGGTGGGGGGTGGGGTGGGGTGGAAGCAGGAGAGAGTCTATAGAGGCAGGATAGGAATTGACAGTATAGGACAGTATCTATATCCTGCTGATACGGTTTTGGCTGGCACCTTAACTGAACTGCAATCACTGTTCCTGAATAACTATTACAGTTAACTGTAGCTGCATTCCATTTAGGAAAACAATTAAATTGAACATTTGTAGCTTCAAGGGCTAAGCATGCACAGCAATAAAGCAGCTGAGGAAGCACAGATTCTGGGATCTATTGGAATCAACCTTCTCCACTCACATCTTCAGGATGATGATCTCATTCTTGGCTGCCTTTCGCACTTTGCGCCCATCTCTTTTCAGAAACTTCTTGCAAGTATAAAGCTTGCCTGTCGATTTCTCTTTGGCACGGAATATCTCACAAAACTCCTCTCTAGGAAAAGAACACCCATCTTTAAGTGTAAAGAGATTGTATCCATTTGCTGAAGCAACATAATTCTGCAGCAGAGACGGTAAATAGCTTAACCTTATGAATCATCCACTTCCCAAAAGAGACAGAAGATACACCGTGTGTTCCCTCAGAAAAATGTTATTAAGTGCATATTGACTGAGGATTGACCACAAAGGGGAAAGGATATGAAAAGCAGAGGAAAAAAACATTTGTCCATTGAACGTATTATACCTGGACAACATTCTAACTGTGTTTTGTTAAAGTACCTATTATTTGCAAACTTTGGGTGACCTTTAAAATTAGCTCTATATTTGCATTTACATGTGCTTTCATGTTGTCAATTGTGTTGCTTGTTGACAAGATATAAAACAAAAGTTGGGGGGGAGATGGAATTCAGGGAAGGGGAAGAGTGTCACTCATATGTTCTAACCTAAATAGATTTATGATCTATTTAATAAATAGATTTATTAAGAGAGGGTTAGATTTAGCCCTCAGAAGGCCTATCTTGTTTCAGGCTAAATTAAATCCCCTCACTCAGCTAATACTGTGTTAAGTAAGCTAGTGATCAAGGAGTTAATTCTCTTCACTCCTGAGATGAGACTCATCAGAGATCCCTCTCCCTCAGTGGTGGGATTCAAATTTTTTTACTACCGGTTCTGTGGGAGTGGCTTGGTGGGTGTGACAGGGGAAGGATACTGTAAAATCTCCACTCCTTCCCGATCAGCTGGGACTCCGGAGGCAGAGGATAGATAGGGGCAGGGCCAGTCAGAGGTGGTATTTACCAGTTCTCTGAACTACTCAATATTTCTGCTACTGGTTCTCTAGAACTGGTCAGAACCTGCTGAATACCACCTCTGCTCTTCCCCCAAAGCACCTCTACCTCCTGTGTAGCTTTCATACTGCTCTCCAGCCGCATAGAACACATGTGACAAAGGAATAGAAAGGAGTAGGTAAAGCCATCCTTTGAGTTCACTATGGTGGTGCCTACTTCAGTTGCACTTCTGTGTTTTTTTAAACCTTTCTCCAAGGGGGAATAAAATAAAACAAGGTAGGTAAAACATACAAAGAATGATTTATGGAATTGCTTCCAAGCCTTTTACCAGCAGTGGCTATAGGAAATATTTGCATTTTCTTCTGTGTAATCAAGTAACCCATAACACACTTTCTCTCTCCCGCTCTGGGTGTGTGTGTGTGTGTGTGTGTGTGTATCTGTCTGCCTGCCTGCCTGTCTTTTCCTTAGAAACTATGTACTATATATAGTTTGTGTGAATGGGGCTGGCAGCATAATCTCTGCTCTAGGTCACATGACAGGAAGATGAGGGAGAAGGGCTTAGAATAGAATAGCCAGAAACATTATGAGCTCCTACCCAACTATCTTGTCCATAAGAATGCATTGGATGGAGTAAAAAACAAAACAAAACAACTTCCTCCACAGCTGCCAATTGTAGTACATTTTTAAAACTATTTTTTGCTAGTTTTTCCTAACACATCTGGTCGTTCTCCTTGGGTTTTGGAGAGGTATCCCATTGATAGACAGATGAATAAGCAAAAGTCCTGGACTTCTTACCAACATTACATTGGGTTAGGAAATAAAAAGAAAAAGGCTGTGAATGGGGAAAAAAAAACAACCCAGGTTCCCAGGTCCTTTTTGTATGGTTGGGAAGATTAAAGCATACCAGTGTATGACAGACTCAGCCAAACACATCTGCATGTGTCTCGCCATATCTTCTGAGATAGCCCGAGGAAAGCTTAATGTGCTACAATCAAGAAATGGTATTTTCCCTACTATCCTCCTTTAAAGTGCTGCAAGTTGTTTATATTGTTGCCTGTGCATAGGTGAGTCTATACCCAAAGGAAGGGATGTTTGAGTTGTCTGGAATGTGTGACCACAGCTCTTTTTTTTGGCACAGAAGAGAGATTATGACTCTGGGAGGTCATTCTGTCAGTCTGTCCATCTGTTCTAAATTGTCATTTGGATCCCTGGTGACTAAATATACGCATAAAACCTGATAATCATTATATTATTTTCTCAGCCATGAAATATAATAGTAGTTCTTGCTAGTCTAAACTTTATCCAAAGTCACCAATACTGAATTATCACTCAACCTCTCCATCATTCCTTAAGAACATTGCAGAGAGTAGTAGAACATCATTCTGGGAAATGTATGAAAACGGCGTAGAATAGTAGAACACTTACGTTTTGATTACCTGTCCCAGATCATATCTGTCAGTCACCTCAGATGGCTGGTTATAATCCTTCTTATCTCCCAAGGTAACACATCCAAACGGCATTGCCAAGCCTGATACTGAAAAATAAGTGCATGGAAGGCTCTGAGTCATCATTCATGAGTACAGATAATTTGAAGCACCCCAGGATCTTGATTGGGCATCTAGGGACATCCACTCACCACTGCATCACTGAGCAAGCTGAATGTGAGCAGGTGCAGTTAGACAGTCACATATGCTCAGATGTGGCTTGCAGTGACAGGCTGGGAAGCATTTGGGGTGCATTGCTCCGTGAAAAGATTAACCCATTGTCCAAGCTCCAGTGAAAGAGATTCCATGTTGATGATGATTCAAAACAGAATGGAAAATAAGACTTCCATATTGTAATGTTTTTATAAAAGTTAGGGAGACAGTCCCGTTTGGAATGATAATTATAAACCTTAGATCATAAATGGTTTTGCTGGAAAATGTGCATGCTGTCAAAATGATCAAAAAGGAGATCCTCAATAAGACAATATTACAAGTTTTTTTTTTTTTAGTTTAGCTGGCATGCATAACCAGCTAACCTAAAATTTGAGAATATGTTGTGGCGGCTTTTATCAGCATTCGCCAGATAGCAATCCCAGAGAGTATAATCCATCACAAAAAAGTGGTTGTTGAACTACAACTCCTTGCAGTGCATCTGTTAGGGTTCCAAGTAACACACCCAAAGGAATCAGTACTCCAAGGCATGTTCCTCAAAGTATAGAATTATTAGGCATGTCATATTGTCACATCTGGGGAAACCCGACTCTAAACCCCCCTCGGGTTTCCCCCTAGTTAAAAGTAGAATTTTCTTTCCCCTGCCCATGTAATCCATCACATGGTCCAATCAGGCCACAGCCAAAGGGTCACTTGGTCTCAGATCCCACCTCCTTGCACCTGGTGGGAAAATTCTTGATTCTCAGAAGAAATAATTTTATTATGGCCACAATCCCCTAGCTATCTCTTCCTCCCTGCTCCTGTTCCCACAGCTTGACTTGCTTCACTGTGGCAGCCCTGAAAGTGCTGGTGGTGGTGGGGTGGTGGTGGTGGGGATGGCTACAGGGGTGACGCCATCTTCAATATTGTCCATCATGGCTGAGATTGCTGGGGAACTGAAGTTTAGTAACATGAGATGGAGTGTAGTTTAATTTAGTTTAATAATTAAACAATACTGTGAACATCATATCTACTTATAGGCTATGGGGATCTGATAGGGAACAACAGGCTTAGGCTGTCTGAGAAATCTGAGTGACTCTGGGTTTTGGAGCCAACTGTTTCTAGGATGTGCTGTCACAGACAGACCTGGTGAACAATCTGGAGGTCCTCCTAGACTCTCGACTCCTGCTCAAAGAGCAAGTGACAGCCATGGCTAGGAGGGTTTTTGCACAGCTTTGTGTGGTGTGCCAGTTGCGCCCATTTCTTGATCAGCAGGCTCCGCTCACAATCACTCATGCCCTAGTCACCTCCAGATTAGACTACTGTAATGCGCTCAACATGGGGTTGCACTTGAAAAGTATCTGGAAGCTTCAACTGGTGCAAAATGCGACAGCATGGGCAATTACGTGCGCTTCTAGAAGAGAGTATGTTATACTTCTGGTCCCCGAGCTGCACTGCTTGCCAGTTCACATCTGGATACAATTCAAGATGCTGGTTTTAATCTTTAAAGCCCTTCATGGCATAAAAACCAGATTATCTGATTACATCAGCCTGCTCCATCAGATCGGGTAGAGAGGGAGTGCTGTGGATACCCTCTGCCAGGAACTTATATTTAGTGGATCCTAGGAAGTGAGCCTTGTCTGCCATGGCAACTGTCTTATGAGACATCCTCTGCCCTGCATCTCCCCAACATTAGGTTAGTTCCATCCCTCATGATATTCTGGAAGCCTCTCAAGTCCTGGCTATGTCACCAGACCTGAGAGTCCCAGGGAAGTGGAATATACTAGTTCTCTTTCTGTTGGGGTTTCTATATTTTTATTTAACTTTTTATATTTATATTTCATTTTTTAATGATTGTTGATATATACATTGTTTTATATCTAATTATTGTAAGCTGCCCCAGTGGGGCAGCCATAAAAATTAGACAGGCAGGCAGGCAGGCAGACAGACAGACAGATGATAGATAGACAGATAGATAAAATAGATTGATTCTTCCAGTGAGCAAACCTATAACAGATGCACTGGCCTAACTGCCTGTACTTGGGAAAACTGATGAAATGAATTAAATTCAAAATATCTGGCATGAAGGTTGTTTATTTTTAAAAATATTTTTAATCTGATTTTCTATAAAAAAATTCAGAACAGCATCTTTGATCAATACTCTCCTTTATAGGTAACAATTGTTTCACTTCTCTTTTTTGCGTGTATAATTTTTGTTAAAATTTTTAAATAAGAAGGTAAAAACTGACACAAACTAATAGAAAGTAAGGAAGAAAGAAGAAATAAAAGAAAAAGCAGACAGTGTATGAAGATGAAAACAAGTGAAAGAAATAGTAGAGAAGGAAGTATAAAGAAGTGGCTTCTGATATTTTTACAGCAGTTCTAAGTATAAATGTATTTATATAAGTATAATATATAAAATAAATATTTTAACCCCCTCTCTAAAGTTACATCATATTCTTCCTCCTGTAATCTATCCTGTCTAATCATCAAAACCATAAATCATTTTTATTCAAAAAGTCCATAAGAAGCTTTAAATCAGCAATAAAAGTTGATAAGCTCCTTGTGACTACTTAGACTAATCCTCACAGTTTTATTGCCAAATGTTTCTAAAAGGTTTCCCCTTGCCTCCTTCCTAGGCCGGAGAGAAAGTAACCAGCCCCCAAATCACACAATAGGTTTTATGCCAAAAAATGGGACTAGACCTCATACATTTTCTAACATGGTTTCTAACATAATGCTTTAACCACTACACCACTGCACCAAATTGGCTCCCCAGTAAACATTATAAACAATTATTTAGGCACATTTCTGTGTGCAAAAGCCATTGTTCAGGGAAGTGGTGTTCTTCAACATCTCATAGTAAAATAGTGTTTTGAGAAGAATAAAATTAAATCCAAAGAATGAAAATTTCCATAGGCCCTACTTTGCAAGATTGTCCCAATAATCCTTGCAAAGATAATGAATTATGGCCATTATCTTTCCTCCTATTGATAAGCATAAAGAGGAGACCTGGGTTATGGTCTAAACTCTAGTATCATTGAATTCAGTGTGCAAATTAATCACGACTACAGGCTGAGGTTTTCAGTAGGCAATAAGTGAATATGTAGGCACAGCCTACATAACAATTCAAAAACTCCATTCAATCCATGGAGGTTGAACAGAATTTTAAGATGGTAGCCAACGGTAGGCACTTAAATATGTATGCAGAATATCTCATCATTTACATATAACATGCACACAGCTTTTTTTTCTTTTTGTCCTATTTAAAGCTGACACGAATAGAACTATTACCAAGTACAGTAGGCATTATTCATTTTGCACAAAATAACACCTTGGGCAGGCAGTGAGGTCACAATGGTTAAACTCTTTTTGTTATATAGAAGGCCACTTCTTAGTCTGGCTCTAGGAATTTTGGAAAGCTAATTTGAGAGAGGAAAAATTGTATTCAGGTGACATACCCTAGGACCTAGGTCAAGGCTGGGATTACTCATCAGGCAGCTGCTTTCTCAGGTGTCACACAGCAATAGTGACAGGTGTATCATTAGCACTTTTTAAACAAGCATAATTGGTCACAAGCACATCACACTACAATGTCATGAACAGAAATGTTAAGGGATTGCATTCCTCTCTCTTGAAATTGGGGCTTGACAAATTTAATTTTTCTGCTTTAAAAAAGTTTTAAAACTAATCAGACTCTCAAGGCCCTTTATAGAAAATTGCAGCTGGCCCTTTTGACAGGGGGAAAAAGAAAATCAACACAGCTAGGCAAGGCAAAGCAAGCCGAAAAATCTCACGACTGAGAATATTATATTCAGGCTTGTGACTTTTCCCATAATTGGCCTGAAATGCCATCAGGAATGTGTTGCAGGCATCCTAGCTCAGTGGCAATTCCCCGAACAGTCACAAAAATAACATCCCATAAAGTGGAGGTGATCAAAGCTCTGCCCGCTTACCTGCCACATTATCTTGGAGTATAGGTTATCCTTCTGTCCTATTAACTATAAAGTAAGATTATCTACATGGGAGGGGGGAGAGAATCTGCAGCCTGTGGCCACATTAAGCCTATTAATGAGTAGTCCTAACTGCGATTGACATGCATACTGTCTGGAGCAGGAAGATTCTGGTACATATTATTTTCTAAAACTCTTCCCTGATGGATAGTAATTGCTTCCATATAAAAAACAGGTCAGCTTCCCCCCCACTTTTAAAAAAAGAGATATTGCTATAAGGTAATACAGTATTGTTAGACCTGTCTGTGGGGCAGGATGGTTTATTATACATGATACAGTGCTCTAGTATACAGGAAATCCTCGGCTTAGAATCATTCATTCAGTGACCATCCAAAGTTACAACGGCACTGAAAAAATTGATTTATGACCAGTTTTCACACTTAACGATTGTTGAAGCATTCCTATAGTCACCTGATCAAAACTCAGGTGTTTGACAACTGGCATGTATTTGTGACAGTTGCATTGTCTCAGAGTCATGTAATCGCCATTTGTAAACTTCCCAGGGGGCTTTTGACAAGCAACATCAATGGGGGGATCCAGATCTGCTGAACAACTGTAGCAAAAATGTTGGAAAATGGAGCACAACTCAACTGTCTTGCCTAGCAACAGAAATTTGGGGTGCCATTGTGGTCCTAAATTGAGGAATATCTATATCTATATTTTATATATCTATATATCTATATCTATATTTTCTTTTAGAGAAATATAGTGGGCATACAGATTGGATTGTACTAGTGCTATTTGTGGAGTTCTTGAAAAGTTTGTGATATATGTACAAAGAGTGTATTATAAAGGTTGCCAGTTTTTCTTTTTGTTCCCTTTTCAGTGGGGTACTTCTCCTCTCTTAGAACAGGATTTAGTATTGAGATAAGTTGGCATTCAGCTGT